TCCCTACACTAAGTCTTCAGGAGCATCCACTGCTCAAGCAAGGCTTGACCATTTCATCTCCTGTATAACATCCTCCCACTTTACAAACTTAAAACAAAGACTAGACTCAGCTCTTGTTTTGAAGCCAAACAAAGCTGCAACAGATCTCCCAAGTGCCAGTTTTTATTTTTCAATGTTCCTAGTCTCTGGACATAAAATTTAGAAATTTGGGGGAGTTTTAGGTTGTCTGGAAAGTCATGACACATTTTTGGATAGAAAAACATAGAAACTTTCCTGCCAACCTAATACATAATAGCCTTTTCTTCTCTTTCCATGTGTAGAAACAGAAAATATTACACAGCACATACGCAGGTGAAAACCAAAATATCACTTTATTCCTGATAAGATGAAAGGAAAGTACTCCTTCAGCTCAAGGCCAAATGGAATTCAATCCATGTACCAAACGGGTCCCTGGCAGAGCGGGGTTGGGGTCACAAGAAGTCTTCCCAATCAGAGGAGGTATTTCCAAATTCCAGAAGAGGAGGGGCAGAGCAGACTGGATCTCAAAGGAACCCAGAGGATTGAACCACACAAACCCAATCCCTTGTTCTAAACTCTGCAATTCTGAGCATCATTTACCTCTCTCCTTGAAGAAGAGCAGGTGACGGAGTGGAAATAAGCAGGTGTGTTTCTCTATGGAAAGTTCTGCCACAGGGAACGTGAGACCAGAGACAAAGGCAGGTCTGTTCTAACTGTGGCTACCCCACAGGCATCAGGCAGGGGCAGGAGACAGGGCAGCTTAAGGGCTGTCTGAAACATTTTATTTATGAAGAGAGAAAAAGAATGGACTTAAACACAGAAAACAATTATGTTGTTTAAATCTCTAGGGAAAGTATCTAGATATCTGTTTTATTATTTTATGGACTTTTATTCTTGGTTTCAAAAGCTTCACAATTAAAAATTTAAAACTATTTTGAAATATTTATCATCTCATCTTAGTGTAAAGCTGATTCAGAAATGATAAAAGAAAGAAGACAACATGAATCTCAAAGCAGAGAGCCTTCCTATGGGCAAGTCCAGCCTTAGAGCTTCGGCTCTCTGATGTGGGGACTGACACAAGTGATTGTAGAACAATTTGTTTCTGTCCTGGAACTCAGGTCAGTGTGGGCTCAGAGAGGACACAGATGTCTAACCCTTCAGATCGGATGCACAAGCACTTCCCTCCAAAAGCGAGAGCCTCTCCATTCACTTCCTCAAAAATACACAAAAAATTGACCTTGAGCAACTTCCTTAACTTCTCGTCACCTTCTTCTCTGTCTTTTTAGTGGAGTTAGTTAAATACATAAGAGTACTCTGTTGTAATAGGTTGAGAAAATATGGACCAAACACTTGGAACATTGCCCAACACTGTGTAATTTCATGAGCACTTGTGGGTTTCCTTTTCGTCTTCTTTGTTCTCTTTCTCTTTGCCTTGTTTACCTAGATTAAACTGGTTTACCCTCCATAGTTTGACACTCTCACTTTCTCCGAGGAGCCCAGCCTCCTGCCCACACTCATAAACAGGCATACACAGAATCCTCAAGACAACCCAAGTTATTTTCTGGTTAACACTCTTGTTAGACCAAACAAACAAAAGTAATATATGGTGGAAAATGTTCATCTTAATTCTTTATAGTTTTGCTAATGCTAGATGTTCCACTTGCTTTCTAACCGCACGGATGTACACCACCACTGCCTTGTTATGTGCAGAGGGAACACTTCACAAATCTAAGGCTCCATTCATTATTCCAACAGCCATGGATTTGTATACTTTGTACAATAATTTACCAGCAGATGGCAGCCAAGCGTCTTGGAGAAGGGCAGCTACTTCTTATCCAGCCTTACAGGCAATGCAAAAGCTAGAGGCTAAAATGTCAGTCCAGATTTAAGAGGACATAGGCAGGAGATTCTTCCTGCTCAGTTTCACCTTGGACCTACAGAGATGACACGGAGTTATTCCAAGGGCAGGGCAGTGAGATGAGTCATGGAGTCATGGAGTCATTTCCCGGACAACAATTGTTAAGGTGAGAATTTAAACCAAAAAAAAAAAAAAAAATTTTTTTTTCTAAGAGTAGTATTTTATTATCACTATTGTATAGAATTGCTTACATATTGATGATAAAAACAGATGGCAGCCTTGTTACTGTTGTAAAATGTTTTGTTGACAATGCCTCCCCTTATTGCTTGTTCCTAGAAGACTACTCCTGCCAATCCTGTTCTTAGTTTGCATGGAGATGACAACTGCTCCCAATCTACAAAATGAAACGTGTTCCCTGGCAGAAATTACAAGGGAGAGAGCCAAAAATGGTTTTCTCAATGGACTTATAAAATAAAGATAGCTATGGAAATAAGAGAATTTTATTAGAGACAGAATGTTGGGTTAGCCCCAGAGCCCAAAGGTATGAGGAGCTGGATCCCACATAGCTAGTCACAGTTTGAGTCCCAGTTTCAGTGGCTTGAGAGACACACCAGCGCACGTGGGTGCATGACCAAAATCTTGACAGGATAGAGAAATGGAGAAGGGGTTGTGGTGTGTCCGCATCCCATTGAGGGGTGGTTTCTCTCTTTCTTTCTCTGCCTTTGTTTTTCTTTTTGATGAGCACACACACCCTGTGATAATAAAACAAAGAGAAAGAAACAGAATGTCATTTGAAAACTCTCCTGAGTGTTTTATGCAAAGAAAATTGTTGCAAGATCTGTGGTGTTTTCTCTCCCCTATTATAGAAGAAGATGGAGGAACTTTCCTCTTACCTTTAGCATAGAAAGACTCCAGTGGAACCACATCAGGAGGTTCATGTAGTTCCCCTATAGTTTAGGAAAAATAGTAGACTTGGGTCTAACACACTCTGGGAAACCAGAAGAGGCTAAATCCAGAAATTTCTGCTCTATGGCCAGTGTATTTATCTGTTCCTACATAAAAAATTACCATAAACAGCAATTTCAAACAACACCCTTACTCTCTCACAGTTTCTGTGGGTCACGACTCTGGGGATGACTTTACTGCATTCTTTGCTTCAGACTCTCATCAGGTTGCAATCAGGAGTTGGTAGGACAGAGGTCTCAGTTGAGGCTCAATTGAGGAGGATCCACTTGTAAGCTTACATTGTTGTTTGCAGAATTCAGTTCTCAGTGGTAGGATAACGGGATGAGACTCATTTCTTGCTGGGTGTTGGCTGAAGGTCTTTCTAGGCTGTTAGTAGATCATCCTCAATTTCTAAAGGTTTCCCATAGTTTCTTATCATATGGAGCTTCTCAACATGACTGATTGTTTCCTCAAAGCCAGCAAGAGGGAGAATGGTATACCAGAGTCTACTATCTTCTATAGCATAATCATGTAATAACATACATCCTGCCACTTTTTCCATGTGCTGCTAATTCAAAGCAAGTCCCTGGTCTTGCCTATGTTCACAGGGAAACAATCACACAAGGAAACAATCACAAAACCGGGAGGCAAGAACCATAAGAGCCTCCCTAGAGTCTGTCTGCCACAGGTAAGCAAAAAGAGTATATAATATTAGGATGGTCTGTATTTTACTCTGGGCCATGAAAAAGAGACTCTACCTGGGTGGTCTTGGTACTTGCTCTGAAAGGAGTACATGGTTATGTACCCCAAATTCTAGTGGGAACAAGTAGACTCTGAAGAGAATGAGGCCATAAAAGGAATCCTGAGTAACCAGCTACATACAATAGAATAGAAGGAAACCTTATCCAGGGAATCCCATTAATGGCACCATGAATATACTCAACATCTACCATCCTGGATAGTATTAGCATCAAGGTAGGAGAGTACCAATCAAGGAAGACATTTTGTGCTCTATACCTCTCCTGCCCTTGACTCTTTTTTTTTTTTTTTTTGGAGAGATTTTCACTGTAGGGCGCGTGCGCTCGCCAGACAGACAGAGAGAGACATAGAGACAGAAAGCGAGAAATCACCCCCCAGGGGGGAATGGTCACGCCGCAATCCCTTCTCCTCCATTCTCCTCTCGGGATCTTGGGCACGCACGCACACGCACCCGGCGTGAGTTTTAAGCCACCGGGTCCGGGACACGAACCGCGGTCGACTACGTGGGAGTCCAGCGACATAGCCATTACGCTAACTGCTGGCTCCCTCCTGCCCTTGACTCTTAATGATCAGATATCTCTCTTAGCAAAATGGGAGGAGAGTTGGAAAAAAAAGAAAACACTCTTCCCTACCTTCCCTGTTAGTTATTCTGTCTAAAGAAGACCCAAACTATTGGAAAGGAGAAGTTTTAGCTTTAAATGACAGTTGGGATTTGATTCTTGCAGAGGATATTATTACTAAGCTGACTAGAGAGCTTCCGTTTGCTGACAATATCTTACCTAAGATGTCAAATCAGAGGCAAAGAACTAGCCCCATTAAGAATGTTTGGAAAGGATGGTGGTGGAGAAAAAATAGGTTGTTGTCTTTGTATTCTATGAATTTCCTTTACTCAAGCAAGAGAGGGCCTTCAAAAAATTTACAGGAATGATATTATGGAAAACACTGTGCATGGATTTCAAAATTGTTTTCACCAGAATAAGTTCACATTTATATATATACATATATATATATCCGCCCCATGGGGTGTGTGCACTTGCTGGAGAGACAAAGAGAGACAGAAAGTGAGAAATCACCCTCATCCCCCAAGAGGGAATGGCCATACCACAATCCCTTCTTCTCCATTCTCCTTTTCGGATCTTGGGCACACACACACACACACACACACACAAGTGCCAGGCTGAGTTTTAAAATGCCAGATCTGGGACTCAAACCATAGTCAACTATGTGGGAGTCCAGCAATGTAACCATTATGACATCTGCTGGTCCCAATAAGCTCATATTTTTATTCAATTCTTCCATAAACTTTTTAAACCCTTTACATAAGTCATACACATTTTGAAAATTCAAATAGAAAAAGGATTATATTATCTTGGTGTTCTCTATATGGTGCATAGTCATGCTCTAGGAATTATGGTATTAAATTCCTTAATACCATTTGGTGAACCTTAAAGAAGAACTGGAAATTTTTTAGGGCTCTGTATTAGAAAAAAATAATCTACCCCCAAATTCTATAATTAAAAATGTAACTAGGGGTGGGGGCACCAGGTAGTGTGATGGTTAAGGCACTGGACTCCCACATAGCCAACTGCAGTTCAAGTCCCAGACCCAGTGATTTGAAACTCACACCAGACATGTGTGCATGCATGGCCAAAATCCCAAGTGGAGAATGGTGGAGAAAGGATTGTGACGTGGCCATTCCCCCAGGAGGTGATTTCTCACTTTCTGTCTATCTGCCTTTCCTAAACATGCCCTATAGCAAAAATCTCTCAAAAAAAACCAAAACAAAACCTCAGTTCTTTCTTTCAGGGTCTCACCAGGTAGCATTCAGCTGTTGATGAAACTATGGTAATATTATATACTTATGTTAGCAAACCCACATGTTATACTAAATGTATTTAAAAATAAAATTGATGTCATTATTGTACATTTGTGCAGCATTGCTAAAAAATCATCACAAGTAAACATAATTTAAATTTAAAAGTAATTACGTTTAAAATAAAAAATTGACATGTCATTCTATAACAATAAATGTTATTGCATATTTAATGACACAAATTGATGTGATTATAATTGGTTAAATAAACAAAGAATTTTGTCTAAATATTATCTCAAGATAAAGATTACATATCAATAAGGTAACTTCTAAAAATTTTAACCCACATCGAGAATCTCAAATCACGTGTATATTGTCAGAAGGTTTATGATTTTAATCCCATTCTCTGATAAGATTTGACACTCCAGAGCTAATCAAAGATCACTAGAGCTTATAAAATATAAATTTAATAATTTAATAAAGTGAGTTGATGTGCTTATGTATGTGTGTACGTGTTCAGGAAGGAAATATTCCAATGAAGAACTTCATTAAGTATTCACTGTAGAGCACAAGCTGTTTTTGTTTTTTTGTTTGTTTGTTTAACTGATGAGAAGGAAGTTCCATACTGGTTATGCAAATTGAAAGCTGAAAACTAGCACCCTTACTGGCACAAATGCATTGCCAGATCCTGGTAATATTTTGCAAGGCACCCCACATGAGATGGTTTCTGGGTTAAGTATGGAGCCTCCCTGAATATGCCAGGTACACACTCACCCATGGTTTGCTCATGATCTGAGGCTGGCTGAAGGCTGGTATGGATCATGGCATTAAGGCTATACTGTTGGGGATGCGGTTTCCCTCTGTGTGTCTGTCTGTCCATCTGTTATTATCTATTTATCTGTCTATCTATCTATCTATCTATCTCTCTATCATCTGTCTCTCTCAGTCATGGAAGAAGTAAATAAGCTATTAAAAATAAATAGTAAATAAAACAAGTCCTATTGTTTAAAGTTTATGATCATTTTGCAGCTTCAGCTGATTGAATCAGATGGTGTGAGACACAATACTCAGTTTATTTTTTTAGAAATATTTCCCTTTTATATTCAAAATGAATTGCTAGCCAAAATTATAAGAAAAACTAGATCAACAAATTTTGGTTTTAAATGTCATTGAAATTTAATGTAATATAGGTAAGGGTGTGTATATGTGCTTGTGAGAGAGAGAGAGAGAAAGAGAGGGAGAGAAAATGAAAAAGTTCTTCCAAATGTATTTTAGTACTATATTCAAAGTGGTCATAAAATGATCTCAAATCCATTCAATGCTACTCTCTGGTTTAAGAAAATACTTAGGAAGTAATTTGATCAAGTCTTAAATGTGTCATGTCATGTTTTTTCAAATGTTTTTATTGAAATCTTTAAATGAGCTCATAACCAGGTCATGTGAACTATGTGAAGAACCCAGTTTATCAAGATGAATGTGTGTGCCTCAAATGAAATTATCTTGCAGGGTTAATGTTGACAATAGATGATTTGCCTCTTTCTTAACTGATCTCCCTATTTTTCTTACAAAAGGATTATGACATTATTCAGGAGTGGGACTGTGCACAGCTAGCAGTTGGCATTTCCCGGTGCTTTTTATGAACAGAAATGGCAATGTGACATGGTTCTAGCCAAACCTGACCTTAGAATTTTTCTGGAAATTCCTTATTTAGATGGTATCTCTTCCCATTCCCTCCTCCTTTCCCTCCTGCTCCTCCTCTTTCTTCTTCTTCCCAAAGTAAAGGCAACAGTAGATCATCCAATTAGCTATGGTACAACTACTGTGAAGATGAAAGTCTACATTATGGATTACTGAGGAAAAGAACAGGAGTTCAAAACACTGATATCATGAATCCTATTCATACTCTGTAGATGGTCTCCCTAAATTTCTTGGATAAACCTACTTTCTTAACTGGTTAAGTTTGGTATTCAAGAGTGCTATCACTAATTAATAGAGGAATACAGGTATTTCTAGAAAGAATAAATATAGTTTGCACAAGTGAGCAAATAAATCTTAAGTTATTCTAATATGAAAAGTGAAGTTCAGGGATTAGCAGATGGCATAATGGTTATGTCACTGGACTCCCAACTGCAGTTCAAGTATTGGACCTGGTGGCTTAAAACTCATGCCAGACATATGTGCATGTGTACCCAAAATCCTTTGAGGAGAATGGAGGAGAAGGGATTGTGATGTGGTCATCCCTCTTGAGGGGGTGATTCCTCGCTTTCTGTTTCTTTCTCTCCAGTGGGTGTACATCCCCTATAGCAAAAACTCTAAAAAAAAAAAAAAAAAAAAAAAAAAGTGAAGTTTAAAAAGAATTTTTTTTTTCAGTAATAGTCATCCCAAGTAGCTTTTCTTACACTTCAGGATGCCCTGTTGGTTAATGTTAGAGTTGATATAACCTCAGAAAACCTCTGGTTTTACTCATCTCTAGCATTTAATGAGAGGAAAAATGTGGCTATGGACAGCCACAGTGACTTACCCAAAAGACTCCAGGCCTATAAGTCCAAGACCGGTGCTATTTCTCATATGTTATGTTGTCTCCAGGAGTGCTTAGTACCTGTTCTCCACCATCTATTGTTATACTCAGCATTACTATTAATACTCAGAGAAGCAAGATTAGTTAATAATGGCATATGTATTTGTCTTTCAAAACATGGGGTAGTGCCTGAAAGCAAGTGGTGGCATTATATCACTTGATTCTCAAGGTCTCATGAATGCTTAATGTACAGTCACTTCAAAAGGTCTCATGGCGATGCTAGATCTATGTACATCAGGAATGTAGTAATTATCTTAAAATACAGTTATTAGGAAGTCTTACCTATGTTAGGACCTCTGTTTTATTTTGTTTAGAGAGATTTTTGCTCTCAGGTGCATGCACTCACCAGAGAGATAGAGAGAGTCAAAAAGACAGAAAGTGAGAAATCACTCCCCAGATGGGATGGCCATGCTGCAATTTCTTCACCTCCATTCTCCACTTGGGATCTTGGGCACACACGCACACGCACCTGGCATGAGTTTTAAGCCACCGAGTCTGGGACTCAAACTATGGTCAACTACATGGGAGTCCAGCAATGTAACCACTATGCCGTCTGCTGGTCCTGGGTCTCTATTTGTTTTTGTTTTTGTTTTTGCTTTTTGTTTTATGTTTTTTTGAAAACTTTAAGTGTAGTTAGTAAGTATTAGACCAGCAGATGGTGTGAAGGTTAAAGTGGTTGCATCCCACATGGTTGACTGCATAGTTCGAGTTCCTGACCAGCAGCTTGAAGATCACTGAGAAGGTGGGGGTGGTTTCTCATTTTCCCTTGTCTCTCTGTTTCTCTCCAATAAATTGAAAAAAAAAATCAATGGAATCAGAGTGGGGAGAACAGGATTCAGTTTCTTGCTAGTACAACTACTAGCTGTGTAAATAATGATTAACTTAAACATTGGAAGCAGCATATTCTTTTTGACGCCTTTTGTTGGTGAAGAGATTATTTGCACAGATATTTGTGTCTTTATTTTTATGTTTTCTGTTGTGTTTGTTGTTCTGCTTGTCTCTATGTGTCTTCCTATGTCTATAGTGGTCACTTCAGCCCAGGCAGGTTCCGTACTCATCACCTGGATATTGGCTTTCTGTTTGTTCTCTGCACATATGATCATGCAATAATATGTGTGATCTTTGCCATGTGTGCATGCTTCCAGAACTTGCATTTCAAAATAGATAAATCTTCCTTCACATGGAGAATACACACATATCATTCTTTTGTTGCAAGAAGGATCTATCTTCTGTGAAGTATTTATAAGAGAAATTTTCCTATGCTATGGTGAGCTGAGCTATTAGTATAAAGAATTAAAAAGGTAAAACCTGTAAACTAATAACTTTTCTTCTTCTTAATGGTAAGAGTTACCCCTAGTAGAATAAACAGTGTTTAAAAAGGGAAAATGCGGGACCAGCAGTTAGCATAATGGCTATGTTGCTGGACTCCCACATAGTCGACCACGGTTTGAGTCCCAGACCCGGTGGCTTAAACTCACACCGGGTGCATGTGTGTGCGTGCCCAAGATCCTGAGAGGAGAATGGAGGAGAAGGGATTGCGGTATGGCCATCCCCTCTGGAGGGTGATTTCTCGCTTTCTCTCTGTCTCTCTCTGTCTGTCTGGTGAGTGCACGCGCCCTATAGCAAAAACCTCTCAAAAAACACAAAAATTAAAAAAAAAGGGAAAATGCAACTTTGCTTATCTGTAGAAGAAAATCAGCATGATTATAAAGTCTCTTGAATTCAAAAGCCTCTATTTGACTTCTAGAGACTTCTAACAGCATATAGAAATTTAGAACAATAGGTGCCCAAAAATCTTAAGAAAAAAAGAGAAAGGACACAAAAAAGAAACAATGGCATTTTACTTAATGAAGTGTATAGTACACTGATAAAGACAAGGAACAACAACAAAAAAAGCCTATTAGTACTGGACTTTTAAAAATGATTTCTTGTTTACTTTTAATCATTGTATATCTTTATAGTCCACAATATGGTTTTTCAACGTATGCATGCATTACATGCATATTTTCAACAGAGAAATTTGTGTTGTGTCTGTTAAGTGTTTCTTCCCTGGTCTCCCACTCACCCTTTGCCATCCACTCCCCTTCCACATAGTCTCTAGTATCTACATTTGTCCTCCCTACTACTGTGTCTTTGAATCTCAATTTCTGACATAGCATGTGGGCATTAGGTATATATTGAGTGGGGATATATAGTGTTTTGTCTGTCATAGTCTGAATTACTTCACTTAGCATTAAATCTTCTATATTTACCCACTTTGTATCAAATGACAAGATCTCATTGTTCCTTATGCCTGAGTAGTATTTCATAGTGTATATGTACTATATATTTTTTAATCCAGTTATCAGCTCTTGGGCACTTAGGGTTGATTTTATAGCTTAGCCATTGTGAATAATGCTGTAATAAACATACATGTTCATGTGTCTTTCTGATTGAGTGCCTTCCTAGCCTTTGGGAAAATATCAAGGAATGGGATTACTGGGTCATATGACTCAGAAGAGGTGTGGAAGAAGCCCAAGTAACCAAGGTTCTTTGACAATTTAGTCAAAGCAGGTCACAGCACAGAGGAACTCCAAACAGGATGTGAGACTTCCTTGCAACTAAAATGTGAACAAATCCTTCTTTTCTAGGGTCCTTAATACCAGGGCAAAACACAATAGGACTGATAATCTAGTAGTGATGAAAGGGGCATGTGAAATATAGGATTTTCTTAAATGAAGATGATGCTGGTCAGGGATAAACATGTTGACAAAATGACAGACTGTTGCTATGGTGCAAGTCTGGACCCTGGTGCCAAAAGACTTAGAGTATAGTCTTACTTCTACAGCCTTGACATGGGATTGGTGCTATGGCTAGTTCAACCTACATATTGATAATTCTTCAATTATTTATTTATTATTATTTTTTTGAAGAGGTTTTCGCTATAGGGTGCGTGCGCTTGCCAGATAGACAGAGAGAGACGTAGAGACAGAAAGCAAGAAATCACCCCCCGGGGGGATGGTCACGCCGCAATCCCTTCTCCTCCATTCTCCTCTCGGGATCTTGGGCATGTACGCTCACGTACCTGGTGTGAGTTTTTAAGCCACTGGGTCCGGGACGCGAACCGTGGTCGACTATGTGGGAGTCCAGTGACATAGCCATTACGCTAACTGCTGGTTCCCAATAATTGTTCAATTATTTGAACCTCCTCTCCCCAAGTATCTTGTTCATCTTTACTCACATATGCACTCTTCGAGTCGTATATCCCTTGTGACACTTTATTTTCCTTTTTAACTGACAAATTATAATTTATATTTTATATTCTTTGAAGTTCACAATATGCATTTAAAGAATCACTTTCTTTTATTTAAAGTTTGTTGTGGACTTCCTGCTCTTATTTCTTATAGACTATCCTGATCCTGGGTTGCCAGGCAGTTTCAAGTTTGGGGGCCATTGTAGCTTCTGCTCCTCACTCTTCCCACTTCAACCCAGTGGTTTCCACCATTATGATGTTTGGGTATCCATTTGTAGCATCTCTGTGTGTGAGTAGAGTGAGGCCACCGACTGGTGATAGATATGTCTTCTAAAGGTAATTGAGTGCTTTGCCATGGAGTAATATAGTCTTCAAAAGGCAGGGAGGCCAAGGCCAAGGCCTCAATTTTCCCTCTGTTGCCATCCCACATCATGTCCCTCCCATTCAGGAAGAGCATTAGAAAAGCTAAATCAGTCCTCCTGCCTGAGCATCTCAGGGAGGGACTGGTTGGGACAGAAGGCAAGTAAGATAGCACAATTGCAATGCCAGTACAGCATTTCTTACCTTGTACATTTCTTACCGTTTGCACCTGTATGTACAACACATCTCTGGAAAAGTGGGAGATTTTTCACATCCTTCTTTGGGACTTTGATGAGGCCATTGGATTCACTCTATTTTAAGAATAATCTTGTCAGGTAAGGAATGAGAAGGCCATTTTGAAACAATAAAATGAGCACAGTTGGTAGATGTTGCAGATTTGCAGAGATGTAGACCAGTGATGGTGAGATCCATGGGCAGCAAGGGCATTCTCGTTGTGTTCAAAAGTAATCCTGAGCACTCCTCGTGCCGCCTTCCATAGACTGGCTCATGAAGAAGGACCCAGTGAATCTTTATTTTTTCCAGCTAGTGATCAGGAAAGGCTTACACCTCCCACACAGGGTTATTTCTTTTCCATATTATATCCTGTATAAAGAAGAAAGGGGCACACATTCTGGGCAGATGAATTAGACTAAGAAACAATGCCTATGTGGATACAAACTGCATTAATGAAAAGAGGCCCTCATCCTGTTCCCAAAGCATAACTTGTCCCAAATTCTCTAACTGACGCTTGCAGGCCTCACATTTTCTTGGGAAAGCTAGCATTAGCTCACACTGGATCCTCTGTCTGTAGCTACCAGGTACTGAAGCCATAAGGTTAACAATGTTTCAGCTTCTTCAGATATCCTCCCTTCATCTATTGGATGCTCCATACTACTAAGACCAAATACTGACACCTGGGGCTTCAGGATAAAGCCTTCACTGCTGACCCCATCCTTCCATTCTCCTCAGTTCCCTGTGTGAGCCAGACCACCTACTCCAATGGTCCCAAAACCATGTGTTTCTGCATCTTACCCCATCAGAGCCTCTTTCTTAAGTGCTTCTATCAGCTGGTCTCATCTGTCCCTTCGAGTCATTTCCTGGTTTCAACCTCTTTCTCTCAATCTCATGAATTAATAACACTTCTTCCATCCCATACACATCTCTCTAGGCTTCCTCAGTTCCTATGGATTTCTACTAAAAGCAATCCAACTCCCTGTACATCTGTCTATCCTTAAAATTAATGTAAATAAACATCCTGAGGATAAAAATCAGGCCTCTCTAGCAATAGTATCTCTATACTAATCTCTAATGTTCTATCTCCCAAAGTTTTCTAAAATCACTTTTTGATTAAGTGATTGACAGTGATATGGTGGTTACAGCAACATTTCACAAGACTGTTGAGATAACCACTTCTCTTTTATGAGTAGTTTGCAATTACTGGATCCTTCTCTATTGCTAGAAAAAACTCAACTAATTCCTTTGTAAGTATGAGGACCATCAAATCTCAGCTGGTTGGAATTGAAGGAACTTCAGAGTTTATTCTTCCAATTAAAATATCTCTATTTTATAGTTTATGTATATGAAGCTCAGAATAGGTAAGGGAGCCCAAGACCTCTTGGCTGGCTTATTGGAAAAACCAGAAGAACCCCAATTTCTTGCTTTCTAGACCAGTACTCTTT